GAAATATGCCATCCCCAAATAAACGCAAAGAATTATTATCAGAAGGTATCCAAGCCAAAAATAGTGATACATGGGCTAAGTATATTTACCAGGAAGCTTTAATATAAAAGATAAAGATCTTGGTCCTGGATGGCTTGATTTTATTCAGAAAGTTAAGGAGAATATAAAGTATCCATCTCCTATAGTCTTGGAAAAAAACTCTCAATTATTGCGTTATAAAGATCTTTTGGATTCAAGGCCATTGGATGAAAAAAAATATATAGAGGGATGTGAAATACTTACCTGGCTCCTTTCTAATGGCCATATTGATAAAAAAATATACCGCATTGGAATTAAGGAATTGGAAGAATAATTAATAGCTTCTCAAATTCCATTTTTTTGGAAGATTTCTGATAATTCATCCTCTGATGCATTTATCATTACAATAGAGCACCATTTGCCATTATGCTTCTTTCTCATTATTACTGTTTTTAAACCTAAAGCTGTTAATGCCCTTGAAATCTGATTTTTATTAAGAGGACTATCTACACTATTTGCATAATTATCATAGAACTTCGAAAAGCTTTCATTTATATCAAAATATTCATCTTTCAGATATTTATAGAATTGTATTTCTTTAACAGAACTAGGTGAACTATTGATAAACTCTAATAAACATAATTTGATATATTCAATATCATTTGATCAATTATGGTCTTCAATCATTTTTTCAAAAATTTCTATGACATTAAATGAAAGAATCTTATTATGCTGAGATTCAACAAAGTGTGAAAAGTATTTCTTAAATTCAATGAGCTGTTCAAAGTCCTTGATTCCATTCACATGAAGGCATAAATTATTTGCAGTATATCCTACAGGCTTTGCAATTATATGCCCACAGGCATCACATGTTCTTTTTCTATTTGACATTTTGATTTTAGTATTTTTCTAACAGTAATATATTTATTTAATTCAAAGATTGCCCATAGAGAATTAATTAATATGATGGTTTGTGTTCCCTACAGTATTCCCCTTCCTGCATAGAAACATTCTCAACAAAGAGTAAGATTTAAATCCAAAAGTTTTTCTCGGTGTACAGCCATAAGTTCCTCATATGTAGTAGGAAAATTCATATTTCGTTGAGGATCATGAGTATTAAAATTAGAATGAGTATCTTCAGGAGTAGTTGGATTAATTACTTGTTTCCGTGTATGAGCAATTTATTTTTTTCTATGATAATTGTTATGTCGCACAATATTAATAAAAAACAAGCATGGGGAATCTAATAGTGCACCATTGGATCGACTTCCAGAAGAAAGAGAAAGGTTGCAAAATTTGATTTCTAATTATTCACTTCATGATGTGTTTAATTGTGACGAAACAGGCTTATACTGGAATACAGAACCTTCGAAAACACTAGCTACAAATAAAATTTCAGGCACAAAAAATTCAAAAAATAAGTAACAATTCTTTTGACATGCAACGCTACAGGTTGCGAGAAATTAGATCCATTGTTTATATATAAATATAAAAATCCTTGTTCACTTAATGGTAAAAATAAAAACGATTTGTCAATTGATTATTATTGGAACCAATCAGCATGGATGCAAGTCAGTATATGGAATGATTATCTACAAAAGCTTGATAAAAAAATGCATTTTCAAAAGAGAAAAATTTTATTATTGGTCAATAACGCACCAGTTCATTCTCATGAAATTTAGATACTTTGAACAATATAAAAGTGGAATTTTTTTTACCAAATACTACTAGTCATTTACAACCATGTGATGCGGGAATTATTCATTCTTTTAAAGCACAATATAAAAAATTGTTGGTTCGTGATCGCATTGAAGCTTATGAGACAGCTCAGATATTAGAAAAGTCAGTTACTCCAGTTACAATATATGATGCTATTTGTTTTACCAAAAAAGCATGGGGAAGTGTAACATCAACAGTAATAAAAAATTGCTGGAAACATACTGGAATTTTACCTGAAAATTTAGAATTTTTGAATAATGTTGAAGTTGAGGTTGAAGTTGATATTGAACAAGAGAATCATGAAGTTCAAGATTTAATTAACCAACTTCCATTTGATGATTCACTTTTAGCAGATGAGTATTTAAATATTGAGAATAACATGGTTGCAGGCAAATTAGTAATGGAAGACGAGGATATTG